CTCAAGGGTAGGGCCGATTGGGGGGGTTGGGCACCGCCCCTTTCACTCACAGAGCAGGGCCAATCAGGGGGGTTGTGGCGGTGCCCCCTGTCACACACAGAGCAGGGTCGATCAGGGGGTTAGGGAGCTCCTCCCTGTCATGCACAGAGCAGGGCCCATCAGGGGGTTGAGGAACTCCCCCCTGTCATGCACAGAGCAGGGCCGATCAGGGGGTAAGGAGCTCCCCCCTGTCACTCACAGAGTAGGGCCGATAGGGGAGTTGGGGTACCGCCCCCTGTCACACACAGAGCAGGGCAGATCAGGGGGTTGGGGCGCTGCACCTTGTCATACTCAGGGCAGGGCCAATGGGGAGGTTATGGCTCTACCCTGTCACACACAGAGCAAGGCCCGTGGAGGGGGGTTGGGGCGCCACCCTCTATCACCCATAGAACAGGACCGATCAGGGGGTTGGGGCGCCGCCACTGTCACACTCAGGGCAGGGCCGATGGAGAGGTTATGCTCTACCCTATCAAACACAGAGCCGCAGGGCGATCAGGGGATTGGGGCGCCTTCCCCTGTCACGAACAGAGCAGGGCAGATTGGGAGGTTGTGGCCCCACCCCCTGTCACACACAGTGCCACAGGGTGATCAGGGGGTTGGGGAGCTCCCCCCTATCAGGCACAGAGCAGGGCTGATCAGGGGGTTGGGACGTCTTCCCCTGTCACGAACAGAGCAGGGCGGATAGGGAGGTTGTGGCCCTGCCCCCTGTCACTCACAGAGCCGCAGGGTGATCAGGGGGTTTGGGCGCTGCCCCTGTCACGCTGATCCCGGTGCCGGGAGCCTCGCTGCTCCGCTTATCCCGGTGCCGGGAGGCATATTACCCTTTTACTATATAGAATAGAGGCCTGGTGCATGGGTGGGGGCTGGCTGGTTTGCCCTGAAGGGTGTCCTGGATCAGGGTGGGGGTCCCCACTGGGGTGCCTGGCCAGTCTGGGTGAGGGGCTGAGGGCCGTTTTCCGGCTGGCGAGTGACTGAAGCTCCCAACCGCTCCTTTTTTTCTTTTTTTATTCTGGGCCAGCTTTAGCTCTGAGGCCTCGCTGCTGAAAACATTGATACAATGTTGCGGTACGGCTGGCTGAAGCCCGGCTGACTAATGCTGGTTTCTGGGGTTTTGTTTAGCTTCTATATTTGCAACATAGTACATAGTTGCTTAAAGTTGCAGCTGAGAGGCCGGCAAGTGAGGTGGGGAACGTTGGAGTTCGCCATCACTGGAGCAAGCAAGCCTCCCTGCTCGCTTCAGTGCATGACTGCTGGCCGCCATCTTGGCTGACAGTTAATTTGCATAAGGATATGCTGATTAGCCAATGGGAAGGGTAGCGGTCGTACGCTAATTACCATGTTTCTCTTTTATTAGTGTAGACTAGAGGCCCAGTGCATGAAATTCCTGCATGGGGGGGGGGGGGTCCCCTCAGCCCAACCTGCACCCTCTCCAATCCAGGACCCGTTGGGGGATGTCTGACTGCCTCTTACAATCTGGGACTGCTGGCTCCTAACCGCTCATCTGCCTGCCTGCCTGATCGCTCCTAACTGCTCCCCTACTGGCCTGATTGCCCCTAACTGCTCCCATGCTGGCCTGATCGCCCCTAACCACCTCTGCCTCGCCCCACACCTGGGGCCCAGGATTCCCTCCACTGGCCGGTCGCAGGCACCCAGGACCCGGGCTTCCCTACCTCGGGCCGGCCACAGGCACCCAGGACCTGGGCCAGCTTCACCTAGGCCGGCCTCAGCTACAGGGGACCATGGGCATGTGGCTTCGCCCAGGCTGCAGCTGCAGTTGCCTGGGACCGTGGGGTGGGTGACTTGTCCCTCTCCCAACGCGCAGGCGCTGGCGCCTGGGACTGCAGGGCAGGCAGCTTGTCCCTCTCCTGGGCTGCAGGCACAGGCGCAGCTGCTGGCACCCAGGACCGAGGGGCGGGCGGCTTGTCCCTCTCCCCGGCCGCAGCCTGGCTGGTCCCCATCCCCCTCTCACGAGCTCATTTGTGCCTGGCTGGTCCCCATTCCTCTCTCCCCAGTGTTGAGTGTCTGAGCCTATACGGCATGATGGCATGACAACCATTTGCATATTATCTCTTTATTATATAGGATAGGATGTTGTAGAACAATGATTACCATTGGCTGTCCACATCTGAGGATCCCCAACCCCAGGAGGCAGAACCCACAGGTATGAAGGGCTGACTGTACTTTCTTTTGTGCACATTTATTTTACCTTCTAACACAGTGAATAAGATACTAATGTATTAGAAGTATTGCTTATTGTCTCTCAGCTGTTTTTATTTTTCACAACTGTGCACCCAGTGCCTAGGACAGTGTCTGGCTAGGACAGATGGGTAGTTACACAGCCTTAGGCAAACCATTTAATCTCTGTGCACCTCGATGGTTCATCTCTCTCTCCCTCTCCTTTCCTCTCTTTCTAAAAATCAATAAAAAAATATTTTTTTAAAAACCCAAAAAACTATAAAGCAGATCCTGTCACTCCTTTGCAGAGCCCTCTGCTGGCCTCTGACCTCACTCAGAGTAAGATCCTGGGTCTCTACCAGGGTATACTGCATCTACCATGATCTGCATGTCCCTTCCTCCGACCTCCGTGGTCTCATCTCACTCTGGCTACTGACCTCCTTGCTCTTCCTTAAAATACAAAGCAAACTCTTGTGCCTAGAACTTAGCACTCGCTATTTCCTTTTCCTGAAACACCTTTCTTTGCGGTCGCATTGTGAGGATTAAATCAGATAATGTGTAAAGCATCTGGCAGAGAATTTATCACCCTGTATTGTAACTATGGGGATACTTTTCTGTCTCCCCCATTGGACTATGTCTCCAAGAAGGCGGGACCTGGATTTTATTCATCTCTGAGGCTTAGGGGTTAGGAGCATGACTTCTGGAACCAGATTACCTGGGTTTGAATGCTACCACTTACAAACTGGGTGACCATGGCCAAGTTGCCTAACCTCTCTATGCTTCAGTTTCATCACCTGTAAAATGAAGACAAGAATTACAGTTGTAGCTGGTATGGCTTAGCGATTGAGCATCATCCTATGCACTGAGAGGTCACCTGTTTGATTTCTGGTCAGAGCACATGCCCAGGTTGTGGGCTTGATCCCCATTGTGGGGTGTGCAGGAGGCAGCCAATCAATGTTTCTCTCTCATCTATGTTTCTATCTCTCTCTCCCTCTCCCTTCCTCTCTGAAATCAATAAAAAATATTTTTAAAAAGAATAGCCGAAACCGGTTTGGCTCAGTGGATAGAGCGTCGGCCTGCGGACTGAAAGGTCCCAGGTTCGATTCCGGTCAAGGGCATGTACTTGGGTTGCAGGCACATCCCCAGTGGGAGATGTGCAGGAGGCAGCTGATCGATGTTTCTCTCTCATCGATGTTTCTAACTCTCTATCTCTCTCCCTTCCTCTCTGTAAAAAATCAATAAAATATAAAAAAAAAAAAGAATAGCAGCTGCATTAGAAAGCACTTACAACAGTTCCTGCCATGTAGTACATGCAGTTATTACCTCTGCGTCCTGGTGCCTGGTAGAGAGAGGTACAGCACATTTTTTATCAAAGGGCATTCCTCTGGCTTGTTTCCAAGCTGGACAACATCTCGCCAATTGCTGCCAAACACATTCTTACCCGGGCAGAACTGAACTCTCAGTGATAACATTTCTTATTGCAACCCTGGTCAAGTTTCTTCTTATTATCTCCTATACTTTGAGGGCCTTGGGGAGGCCCTCACTCCCCCTAATGTATATTAACCCAATAGTTTCTCTGCTTGAAGTAAGCATGACAGGTTTCTGATGTAAGGAGATACAGTATCCTATACCTGGGCCAAATGTAAGCAAACGTAAGAAGCCTCAAGTAACAACGATGCAAGATAAATAGACACATACATTTCTGGTGGTTATGAGGGCTATGTATAAAAACAAAGCCAGGCCCGGCCAGTGTGGCTCAGTGCTTGAGTGTGGACCTATGAACCAGGAGGTCAAGGTTCCATTCCCAGTCAGGGCACATGCCCCAGTTGTGGGCTTGATCCCCAGTGTGGGGCATGAAGACTGCAGCCGATCAATGATTCTCTCTCTGAGGCTTATCATTGATGTTTCTATCTCTCCCTCTTCCTTCCTCTCCGAAATCAGTATTTTGATTTTTTAAATATTTTTTGAAAAGTAAATAAAAACGAAGCCAGGAGGGATATCAACAGTGCCAGTGTGGGTACAGAGCTTACCATGTAAAGTTGGTCCTTGTTGGAGCTCATTGGGAAGGCAAGATTTGAGCCAAGACTTGAAGGAGATGTGGGAGTGGGAATGTGTGGGGATCTTGAGGAAAGGTGTTTCAAGAAGAGGAAATAGCCAGTGGCAAGTTTTAGGCACAAGAGTTTGCTTTGTATTTTAAGGAAGAGCAAGGAGGTCAGTAGCCAGAGTGAGATGAGACAACGGAGGTCGGAGGAAGGGACATGCAGATCATGGTAGATGCACTAGGCCCTGGTAGAGACCCAGGATCTTACTCCGAGTGAGATTAGAGGCCAGTAGAGGGCTCTGCAAAGGAGTGACAGGATCTGATTTATAGTTTGTGTGTGTGTGTGTGTGTGTGTGTGTGTGTGTGTGTGTGTTTAAATATATTTTTATTGATTTTTAGAAAGAGAGGAAAGGAGAGGGAGAGAGAGATAGAAACATTAATGATGAAAGAGAGTCACTCATTGGCTGCCTCCTGCACACCCCACACTGGGGATCGAGCCCACAACCCGGGCATGTGCCTTGACCGAGAATCGAACTGGTGACCTCTTGGTTCATGGGTCAGCACTCAACCACTGAGCCACACAGGCTGGGCTGCTTCATAGCTTTAAAAAGTCAGTGGTGGCGTGTGAGGGGCCAGGGGAGAAGTAGGGAGGCTATTAGGATACTGGTTACTCTTGCTTATGCAAGTGGATTCCAGAATCTGTTGCTGCTACTAAGGAAGAGGGTCGGAGTAGGCTGGGAATATGAGTACCTTGACCTCCCCCTCCCTCTCTTCCTTTCCTTAAAGGTTCTGATTAAAGCAGTATTCTCGAGCTCTTACTGTTCTCAGAGGTGAATGGGTTAAGCTTTAGCTCAGCCGCCCTTTTCCTAGTCAGTTCTTCCTGTGGTTGCTTCCCACAGCCAAAAAGGAAGCAATCCTATCCCTTACTGCTCAGTGCTGCTGCTGTCACACCCAGCAGGTAACGCTCCCTAAAATCCTCTGCAGAAATTTTGGGACTTTTCACTAAATCATAGAAGATTTACCTTTTTCTCTCTTGGGAGCCAAGGATGTTTTAGAGAAGAATTAATCTTTCGTTTCTCCAGTTGAACATTTCTTAGCCGTAAGAGCCATGCAAATAGAGCTGGCCACTTGCTTCTTTCTGTGCCTTTTGCCTGTCAGCTTTAGTGCCACCAGAAGATACTACCTGGGCGCAGTTGAACTGTCCTGGGACTACATGCAAAGTGAACTACTCAGTGAGCTCCACATGGATACAAGGTAAAGCCGCATTCCGTAGAGTTTGACCAGGGTTGTGGGGATATGACTGGTTGGAGGAAGGTGCAGACAACAGGTTAGAATGGCTGTGATGCCAGTTAAGCGCCGAAAAAGCATTTCCAGGCAAGGCATGTGCGCATCTGTGCTATTAGCGTAAATGCTAACTGCCTGTCCCTTTCATAGAACTGACCTATTCATTGATATTTTGTTCTGTTTTGTCCGTTGAATCTTTTTTTTCATTTTAAGTTTGTAATGAAAGTTGTATATAATATTGCTTTATTCCTGCATCTTCTCAATTGTTTCTTCCTTGTATTTGCCCTTTTCCTTTCCTACTTGGCGAGATTTGGCTTTACGTTCAAGGATCTTTTTGCGGTCTTTGTCCAGCTTTAGTCTAGTGATCACCACCTTGCTGGCGTGAATGTCCCCATGAACAGTTGTACCATTAGCTTTCTCCCGTTGCACTCGTTCAGTGTAGATGGCATGTGTCTTCCTGTAAACTGAGGCTACTTTACCAATTTGCTGCTTTTATAATGTCCTTGAACAACCTGAACTTCATCATCCTTTCGGATGGGCATGGATTGAACATTGTACTTCTGTCTCAGCTCTTTGGAAAGAGGAGAAGACATAATCTTCCTTTGAATGTGGGAAAGTGTGTTGAAATGCCTTTTACAGTTCTTGCTCGGGTCAGAAGTCATAAAGGGATTGAACTTCATTTTAACCATTGGCACTTCTACAATAGCCGCCTGTCCATTGACTCTTACTGTCACACTAGAGGTCCGGTGCACGGATTCGTTCACCGGTGGGGTCCCTCAGCCTGGCCTGCGGGGATGGGGCCGAAAACATCAGTGCGACATCCCCCGAGGGGTCCCGGATTGCGAGAGGGCACAGGCCAGGCCAAGGGACCCCACTTGTGCACAAATCCATGCACCGGGCCTCTAGTATGCCTATAACATCTTTGGTTAATCTCTTCCCGCCCTCCCCACTCCCCCCTTCCCTCTGAAATTCATCAGTCTGTTCCATGTTTCCATGCCTGTGGTTTCCGCTCTTGCGTTGAGCATCTTCTCCCTGGTGGTCAGTGTGCATCATAGCTATCGGCCCATCGGCTGGTCACTTAGGCTTTTATATATATAGATAGACGAGAAGTCCAGTGCGTGATACCGCCTGGGTCCCAGACTGACTGTTGCCAGCCACGCTGGCCACACTGGGTGGGAGGCGGGACCCAGTTGGCGTCATAGAGACTGGTTGTTAGGTCGTTATAGCCGAGAGGTGCTCCATGCACCTCCTGGTGACCAGTCGTTTGGTCGTTTTGATCGTGATGCCTTTTGGCCTTTTATTATTATGATGCTGCCACTCTGGAAGCTACAGGATGGAGAAAGGGCAAAGAGGCAAGGAGCATAAGAGAGAGAACATAGCTTCCAGAGAGAGAAGGAGAGCAATGAGATCCCATCAACATTACACACAAGTTTAGTCTCTTGTTGTAATGTGTGTGTGTGTGTGATGTGGTTTTGACTTCTTTGCCCAATTTTGGCGTAAGGATAGTATTAGCCATGAGTTCAGAAGCTTTTCATCTTTGGGGGGTTCTGATGTATTTTGGGAAAGTAGTACTAAATAACCTTTTCAATATTGTCTATGGTCATCAATTTATTCAGATTTTTCTACCTCTTCTTCAGGCAAATTTGGTTATATATATTTTCCTGGAAAGCAATTATCCATGTATTTGATAATGTACTGATATCAAGTTACATAACAGTCTTGTAATATTGTTAAACTATTCTGTGTCTGTAGTTATATCTCTTTTTCATTTTTTAAATATATTTTTCATTGATTTCAGAGAGGAAGGGAGAAGGAGAGAGAGAGAGAAACATCAATGATGAGAGGGAATCATTGATCAGCTGCCTCCTGCACATGCTCTGACCAGGGATTGAACCCTCAACTTTTTTTTTTTTTAGAACCATCAACCTTTTGGTGTACAGGACGATGCTCCAACCACCAGAGCCACGTGGCCAGGGCTTTGTAGTTATTTTTGAATTTAATTCATTTTTTAGATTTTGCCCTCATCAATGATCTCTTCTTAGTGTCTTTGAGTTTATTGTGCTATATTTTTCTAATACCTTAGGAAAAGTTATATGTACTTTTCTCTTTTTTGTCCTTCTTTGAAATAGTGAAGGCTCTTAATGGTATATATTTTTCTCTGAGAACATCTTTTCCATATCCCATAGATTGTGGTATGAAGAGTTTACTTTTCATTGTTTACAATATAGTTTATAATATCTTCTTTGATTTCATTTAGAAACATGATTTTAATTGAATTTTTATTTGCTTCTTGTTTTTAATATTTACCTCTATTTTGAGTATTCTTTTAGTTTCCTACTGCTGTCTAACAAGTTACCTCAAACTTAGAAACATGCGAGAAAATCCATTTATTTCACAGTTTCAGTGGGCATGACTGGGTACTTTGCTCAGGGTCACACAAGGCCAAAATCAAGGTGTGGACAGGGCTGTGTTTCTTACTGGAGGCTCTGGGGAGAGTTCACTTCCAGGCTTATTTAGAATTCAATTCCTCCTCTCAATTTCCATGTAGTGCCCCCCATCTTCAAACTAACAAGAGTGCATTAAGTCTTTCTCATGCTTTGAATCTGTCTGAGTTAAATTTCCACTACATCTCTCAAACCTTCTTTTCTGCCTCCCTCTTCCACTTTGTGGCCCTAGCCAGTTTGGCTCAGTGGATAGACCAGTGGTTCTCAACCTTCCTAATGCCGCAACCCTTTAATACAGTTCCTCATGTTGTGGTGACCCCCAACCATAAAATTATTTTCGTTGCTACTTCATAACTGTAATTTTGCTACTGTTATGAATCGTCATGTAAATATCTGATATGCAGGATGTTACAAATTGAACATAATTAAAGCATAGTGATTAATCACAAAAACAATATGTAATTATATTTGTGTTTTCCGATGGTCTTAGGCAACCCCTGTGAAAGGGTAGTTCGACCCCCAAAGGGGTCGCGACCCACAGGTTGAGAACCGCTTGGATAGAGCGTTGGGCCAAGGACTGAAGGGTTCCGGGTTCGATTCTGGTCAAAGGGCATGTACCTCAGTGACAAGCTTGATCCCCAGAGCTTGTCACTGAGGTACATGATTCTCTCTCATCATTGATGTTTCTTTCTCTCTGTCTCTCCTCTCCCTTTCACTCTCTCTAAAAATTGATGGAAACATCCTCAGGTGAGGATTTACATACAAACAAACAAAAAAGAACCTTTGTGATTACATTGGGCCCACCCAGATAACTCTCCCCTCTTAAGGTCAGCTAATTAGCAACCATAACTCCATATGTTGTTGGCCAGGTAACATATTCATGGGCATAAGCAAAGGTCATGAGGGACAAAATTTTGCCTACCATGGGTATAACTTACATACAATGAAGTGTACACATTTTATTTTATTATTATTTTGTTGTTGTCTATCCTCACCCAAGGACATTTTTCCATTGATTTTTAGAGAAAGTGGGAGGGATGGGGAGAGACAGAGAAAGCCAAACATAAATGTGAGAGAGACACATTGATTGGTTGCCTCCCACACTTGCCCTGACTGGGGCGGGGATCAGCGTACATGCCCTTGGCTGGAATCAAACCCAGGACTCTTCAGTCTGTGGGCCGAGGCTCTTTCAACTGAACAAAACTGGCTAGGGCAAATGCACAGATTTTATTTTATTTTTTAAAATAAGGCTTATTTTCTTTTTTCAAAAATTTTTTAAAATATTTTTTATAGATTTCAGAGAGGAAGGGAGACGGGGAGAGAGATGGAAACATCAATCATAAGGGAGAATCATTAAGGTACTGGGGATCAAGCCTAAAACCTGGGCATGTGCCCTCGATCAGAACTGAACCTGGGACCCTTCAGTCACAGGCTGACGCTCCATCCACTGAGCCAAACGGGCTAGGGCAAATGCACAGATTTTAAATGTGCACTTTGGTAAGTTTTCACAAAGGCATAGAAGTTACATAAGCACCACCCTAATCAACATATAGAACATTTCCATCAACCATTCTGCAACTTTTCATTGTGTTTCCCTCCCTGACCAGGCCTCTAGCAATAAGCTGCTTCCTGGAATCATGACTCATTTTTTACTTTTTAAGAGTTTTATATCAGTAGAATCATATAATTTGCACTCTTCAATGTCTGGCTTTTTAGCTTCAGCATCATGATTTGGAAATTCATCCAGGTTGTTGCATGCAATAGTTCTAGCCCAGTGGTCGGCAAACTGTGGCTCGCGAGCCACATGCGGCTCTTTAGCCCCTTGAGTGTGGCCACGAAGTTTCAATCGCACTGTACGTGCGCTCCCGCACGTGGTATTTTGTGGAAGAGCCACACTCCAGGGGCTGCAGTTTGCCGACCACTGTTCTAGCCTTTTTATTGCTAATTACTGCTCCATTATGGGGACATATCATAACTTGCATATCCATTCACTGTCACCTGGACCTTTGGAGTGTTTTCTGTTTGGGGACTAATGTAAATAAACCTACTATGAACATTCCTGTACAAGTTTTTTGTGTGGACATCTGTTTTAATTTATTTTAGCTAAATATCTAGGAGTGAAATTGCTGGATCATATTGTAACTGCATGTTTAACTTTATAAGAGACTGCCAACAGATTTCCTGAGTGGCTGTACCGTTTTATAGTCCCACCAACAATGCGTGAAAGTGCCAATTTCGACACATCCTGGACAACATTAGATGTTGCCAGTATTTCTCATCATTTTAATCACTGTGTAGTAGTATATCACTGTGTACATATAGTATGAGGAAGGGATATAAGTTCTTTGTATAGTTTATATAGGGGAAGTTGTGCAGTGTTAATGACCCAGAAGTAGAGGTCCAGATAGTCAATAGAGTGGTATCTAACTGACCATTTAGCCACGTATCCATTAATGTTGATATTGTTAAAAATTAATATTGAGATAATTGTACTTTATTCATTGTGCTTTGTTTTGTAGCTCCCCT